CAATTCCACTTTCTCCCACTCTTCTCTAGATTAGAGTTAATTGTGAAGTACTGAAACAGCGTCCCTCCCTTGGACACTAAATTTCATTTTAACATAAGATTACAATGATTTTCCATATCCCTCTTTTGTGGTCCAAGCTTACATTAAATACAGACTCTTCTATGGATTTTACAGTGCAAAATATTATTTTTGTTTGCCTCTGTTTATTTCAAGCTCATATCTTTTACTGGATGTTCAGAAGGTATAGTAATGACAGCATCTGACAGCTGTCTGCATTGATAGCTACAAGGTCAGAATTAAAAATATTGAATCAATTTCACAAACTAATGACTTGCAGACAACACCTGAAAAACCAGACTGACAAGTGAACAGTGACAAGGGGCTAGTTTTCTCTTACCCCGTGCTGTACCACAGTTTCTGGGAAGCGTCGCAGCAACAGCAATAGCATTTCCGCCCGTTCCAGAGTATTAAAACACTGCTCTGTGGCTTTCAGTAACATTTCACACTGGACACGACCAGGAAGAGTCTCAAATAAACCTAGAAAAGGAAAACAGATATTGAAATTAGAAAAAAACCTTCAATGGCCATGTCCAGACAAGTGCAGCCGTGTGGTATGCGTCTGCAGCACCACATACTGCACGTTCAGTTGTTCTCTGCACTGCAAGGGAGCAGCTCGTGGTTGTTTTTTCTGACCCCTAGATATCCGGGGTCAAAAATACCCACAGAAAAAAAAAGCAGAGTGGCACTTGTGGGGGCAGCGTGCACCACTCAAAACCGGAGCCTAGCTGTCCAGAGCCACACTCTGCAGCTGGCTAGACTTCCGCACAGCAGGACTGCCACTTCTACAGTTCCAGGAGGCTCCCAAGACCCCAGGTAAGACAGCCCAGGTATCCTCCCCCCGTCCCACCTGAAGTAACCTGCAATGCGCCATAGGATGCATGGCACAGGTGTTCCCCAGGGACAACTAACAGCAGCACAAGGTGCGCCATTACTAGTTGTCCCCAGGGAACAAAATGTCCATGCAAGTGTGGACGCACCCAGTGTGTCTTAACTTAAGACAGGATAAAAAAAGAACAGGTAACAGCTGATCCTTAGTTTTATCAAGACATCACACAGCAGATGTGCGTACCTGATGCATAAGTGGCAATTTAAAGAAATTCCATTATGTGAATGTGGCAAGTTTCAAAGAAGTGAGCATATAATAAACGACCACTCAATAGATTCTTTTTCTGGAGGAATAACAGAACTTCCTAAGTTATCTCCTGCAGCCCTTGACTGGTTAACTCAGTCTTAGACTACAGTTATTGCTATTCTCCTAAATAGATGGGGGGGAGGTCATCTTATTGTTTAGAGCTACAAACGTCATGTTACGCTGTTCTTGCCACAAGTATCAGGTACTGAAAAAAGAACTTATTTTGACATTTGGGAGAACAAGCATACATCAATTAACTTGATTATTCTGATTACAAGCCTACATTCTCTTTCTCCAAAGCAAGCCATAGAAACATGACATCTGACTTATAGACAGGGTTGACCTATAATTGCTCCTTTG